TTCTTTGCAGGGAGGCCTGTGCCAGACTGCTGGGACTCACTCCTGCACCACTTGCTGCTGGTGTGACCTGGGGCAAGTTTCTTCATGTCCCTAAGCCATAGATGCTTTATTGGAAAAATGGCATAGCAATAGTACCTATTCCATAGAGTGATGGAGGATTAAGTGAGTTAACCTATGTGCCTGGCATCTGGCAGGATGTAAGAGGATGTAAGAGCTTTTATTAACATCATTGTTATAATCATCACAGGGTGCCAATTCTAGTTAGTTGGTAGTGCATGAATTTCGAGGAACTGTTAGAGATCTTCAGAAAAGAGGATTAGAAAGAGGATTTCTGAGATGAACATCTATGTGTGCCAACAGAGTTTTCCCCCATGGTACCAGATTTTGATTTCTGACGTCCATTGCAAATAGTCAGAGGCATTAGGGTATAATTACATCTAATAATTAAAAGTAAAATTTACTTCATGCTAAAGGCCCCAGCTGGAAAGATAAGCACTAAGCAGAATCCCAATAGAAGAGCAGGATAGAAGAATACTAAAATCAATAGAAATTTTAAAAATTTCATTTGTATACAATGCTTTGCCAGTCCCCTGCCAGGCAGGTAGGAGATTTTATAATCCTCTGTTCCTTTATATGTTTCACTCTGTTAGTTACAGCATCTGGACTGAGTTATAATTGCAACTTTTCAGGCTATTTTCTTCTAGGACCCATATGGGAGTGGTTCTTCTCTTGCCTTCTACATGGATCCTTATGTCCTCTCCGCTCTTCGTTGTTTTCATCTGGCCTCTTAACTGATTAATACGCTAATATCCAGTGAAGTTATTGAAGGCCCATTACCTAATCATCATTCTTCTACATGAACAGAGTTGGGCTTGTAAACGTTACGTGGGAGTGTCTTTCAGTTAATCAGATTTGTACAATTGGAATGGTGAATATTGACACAGTCACCTTGAAGAAATGGGGCATCCTGAATTGACATCAACTATGAAGAAATTTGCCATTAAAAATCTGTATAAGTTCTTCTATATGAAAAGCTTTATAAACTAGAAAATCCTATGGAAATAAGGTATTATTGTAGTTGGTTCTACTACTTAACTAATCCTAGTGATTTTTAAATCAATTGGGCATCCTAAAACAATGATTATTTTTTAATTGCTGGAGGAAGGGAAGACATCACTACATCATTGCAGGTAGGATTTTATAGAATTACAAACTAATCTGCTCACTCAGACATTCTGTCTGGCCAAATTGGTCATGTGCTAATTCTCTTAGTTGTATTATGTCTGGAGCAGAGCGTTGTACCTAACTGTGAAAACCAGAGGGATTTATCTTACATCCTTGCTACTGTTTCCCTCTTAATATTACCAGGGACCAAACCCTACTGAATAAGCAAATTTGGAAAATCTTCTACATGTGATTAATACATATATGCATAAAACTCTACACATAAATCTATATAGGAAAAAAGCTCAGTTGATGTATTTTTAAAAGAAATCAAATTAGAACTTTCAAGATACAAGTATATTTTAGTCAAGATAATAATTTTTTACAAAAGGATATGTTTTAATTTTTGGATTGCATCAATCAAAAATATTCAATACAAAATTTTATTTTATTAAATTAAAAATTCTAAGTAGTCATTAAAACCGATAACCTAGATGGGACGCGGTGGCTCACGTCTGTAATCCCAGCACTTTGGGAGACCGAGGCGGGCAGATCACAAGGTCAGGAGTTCGAGACCAGCCTGGCCAACATAGTGAAACCCCATCTCTACTAAAAATACAAAAAATTAGCCAGGCATGGTGGCTAGAGCCTGTAGTCTTAGCTACTCAGGAGGCTGAGGCAGGAGAATCACCTGAACCCAGGAGGCAGAGGTTGCAGTGAACCAAGATCACTCCACTGCACTCCAGCCTGGGCAACAGAGCGAGACTCTGTCTCAAACAAAGCAAAACAAAACAAAACTGATAACCTAGTTGCAGTAGATTTGATGAAATAAAATGATAAACTAGCTTTTCTGATTTAATGGGCAGCAAACATTTGTTAATAACTCTCTGGATTTTACAGGATCAGGCCAAGGAGCAGATGGGCTATAGATTTCTAATACAGAATGTCGCCGCAAGGGTACTGCTCCTTTTCCAGATGCCTTTTCTGGGGGCAGTTGGACTGTAAGAGCTGTACTTTGCGGGAGCCTGGTTACTGTTTCTGTGAATAAGATAAAATGGTGTTTATCCTCTGTCAATCAATACTGTCTTGTTTGAACTTATTGAGTCATTTTAGAGACACATAAGGTAATGAAAACCATTGTGTAATAGTACCCACAGTACTACTCAGCTTTCTAAGGGATGACAATATTTTAAGAGACAGTTACTGAAACAAATTTTTAACATTAACTGCCTTCATGATGAAACACGTGTGTCCTGTGTCAGGTACAATATTCTATAAAATAAAGATATATTCTGTGTGCTTTAATACTAAAAACAATAATTACAGACTTTCTCTGAATAAATGGAATAGTACTGCTATTTGCGATTGATTGAAATTTTGTTTATGTATAGTTTTTGATTTCAACTTTATTAATATTGTTTTGACAAATAAGACCTAATAGGTACACTTGGGCAATTTTAGAAAAGTTTTCTGGAGGTCGTTACAAACAGGAAAGTGAAAAGGGAAGGGAGTGTTGCTGAATTCTTAAATGCCAGGGACTGTTCTTCAATTCTTTGCTTTATCATCTAATTTAACCTTCACAAAATACTGTGGGGCAGATTGTACCCTTATTTCACATTTGAGGAATCTGAGATTCAGAAGAGTCAAACAACATGCCCAAGGTCACAAACCTAGAAAGTTTTGCAATAGGCGTTCTGACTTAGCTGTGTCCAGGCAAAAAGCCTAGTGTTCTTTCTGTAATTAATTTAAAGTTTCTCAGCTAGGCATAGTTCTATTTGGTAGAAGAAGACTAGACTCTAAAGTCCTTTAGATTTTTCAATTGTGACAATTTCAATCGATTCTGATTATTATGAATGCTAGACATGGGCTAAAAATGTGATTTGGTCTTTCCTTTTCTGTCTTCTGAGAAATACCAGTTTTGAAAGATGTTGATAGACATTCCTGAAAGAAGATGATCTGTTGTAAATGATACCCAGGAAGCAAAATATTGCCTACTTTCTTAAGTAGTCGTGATAAATGACAATATTTGCTTGTTTCATGAGTCCCCAGTCCTTGAGGGTATGATATAATGGGTACATGCTTGGGCTCTGAATCAGACCACTAGACTAGGGAGCCTGGTTCTGCCAATTGCTGAGTAGCCGAGCCTAGATAACTTGTCTGTGCCTCTGTTTTCCCATGTATAACCTGTTATAATAGTATCTACCCCATAGAGTTGTTCTAAGAATCACATGAGGTAATTCATGGAAAGAACTTAAAAGTAGACCTGACAATATAGTGTTTCATAGATGTCTGTTATCATTATTACTGAAAACACACATGTTTTACTAAAAACACTCATGGGGTAACAAGATCTGCTATAACTTTTCTAAAACCATTTCCTCGACTTACTTGACAATGGAGTCACTTTTCTTCTGAGCCACATTTATTAACATCCACTAAATATAATGTTGATATTTGAAATGACACAAAACCACCTTGGTATTAGTGCAGTAGAAAATAAGAACTAAGTATTTACAGTGTTTTAATATCCATTATGTCATTTTATAGTGTTTGCGCACAACATTTCTTTTCCTTGCCACCTGTCTTCCTTTTTCCCTTAAAATGGATGAATAGTAAAATGAAACAGTAAAATGTTAAGAGTTATATAAAATGGGCAGAGTAAATGTTATTCCAGAAAATGTGAACCTTGTAAGTCATTTGTCTCTTTCTCTGTATTGAGCAGGGCAAAGCCTTACTGCTTTGACAAGTAAGTGATATCACTGTCATTTCTAGACCTATGTTCCATTGCATGCTCCGTAACACACGTTATAAAGGAAATTTCAGAGCAGACCAACACATTTTTTTTCTTGATCCTAAATTATAACTAGAGCTGAATTTACCAAAATGTACTCTACAAAACACTAATCCTGCACAATGCACAAATAATGCTGCATTCTTCATCTTGTTGGAAATATACAATACACATCTGAAAAGTCCTATAGTAAATAACCTTGTTTAGTTGGAATCCATTCTTCTTGGAAATTCATTGGTAATATGACAAAAAGTCAGAGTTTAGGAGGTTTCTGGCAGAAGTGGGATATTTCTGGTAAATACCCAGATTGATTACTTTCTTGAGATAAAATACCATTATATTCTGGTTGTGAATAATCTTTTTGGAGTAAACAAAAATATGTGAAAATATATCCACCTCAGCACAGTCACCTAAACTGTGGAAACAGTCCAATAATTAGCCATTCCAAGATTGAGATTTAGCACACTAAAAGCCAGTCATTTTCCATAATATTTTTTTGCCAGAATCAAAAGTGAAGAGTTTACACATTCCTTCGGTTAGCAAGATAATGGCAGGAGAAATAGCAAGAATTTACCAAGACATTTTTTATGGTGGTAGTAGATAATTAAACATATGAAGTCTGAAGTGTGATAGGAATTATGACCAACACACAAAACTCAAAATCTGCCAGGGATGTTAATACTATTTCTTTTGTTAATTGGATTTTTGTTTCTCAGATTCCTAGGATCAGGACAGGCATTCAACCACAACTGTCCCTGGTGTCTGGTTAAGGCTAAATAAACTTCTCAGAACATTGGTTCCATTCTTGAACCCTCAGAAATTTATTAAATCCTGGTAGCTGTCTCATTGTGAGATTATATGATAATTCCAATATATTCTTTTGTTTTCCAATTGTTTCATTAGTCTAAAAACAAGCTAGATAATTCCTCGAATTAGGCTAGACAGCAGAAGAGAGTAAAAGCTGTTTTCACTGCATTCCCGCTGATACAACAATGCACAGTTTCACAGAGTTGAAATAGAAAAAAGGAAAACACATGGATCATACCTGAGTAATTTCAGAGATCCCCACCCGGAAAAGGTTTCCTTGATTATGGCGAATTCAACGTGTCACTCGGGTTATGCTCTAATCATCATATCAAACTCCAAAGGTTCAGTGGCTTTAGGTTTGGTTTACAATTCCTGGGAGTTAAACTTTAACTCACCCTGTCTCTTGCATCCATGCAGCCCTTTGACCAGATAACTGGGTCACTACAGCCCAGAAATAATTTATGAAAACAATCTTTGTTATTTGTTTACAAAATTAAAATAAATGTTGTAAAAATATTGGGGTAAATATTATTTTGAAGCTATTTGGTTGACTTATAGGATATATTTAAAAAGTAAAATTCAATGCAATTGGATATATAAGCTTTTCTTTATGTCAGTTCCTTTGTTTTTTGCTATGCCAAAATGATATTATGCCTAAGGTAATTTATGAGACTATTTCTTTGCTTTACACTTTTTATATCACTGTATTACAGTGAGTAAAGTGTAGAGTTTTAGGTCAAGTACATAGATAAATGCTGGCCTACAAACAGAAAATACACAAAGCACTTATATAACAAAGTAGATAGATTTGGGCCAGATCACGTTGGGGAAATCATACTTCTTTGTATACAAGCTGCTAATTTAGATTGTAAGAGGGGTTTACTTGTGAGAAACAAAATAATCAGCCATATATTGGGGTTATATGATAACTGATGCTATTGCTCATTGCCTGAAATCTCAGTGGTAACTGAGTTTCTTGAAAAATAGATAAATGGTGTTTTCAAAAATACAAACTCTATACTTTGAGTTCTCTGGTAAGAGCTCTACTCTACAGAATAAATCCCTAAGGGTAATAAAGCCCACTTAAAAGAAAAAAGAACCAAAACCTTTCTAATTTTGAGTAAATTTTGATTTAAGGGCTTGGAAACCACACGCTCCAAAACTAGAATTAGAGGATACACTTCCTTGGCTTCAGTTCTAGTAAGAAGAGTCAAATTTTCTAGGAACCAACCATTAAGAGAGCATTTTTGTCTATAGAAAAGCACAGAACAAGCAATACTTCTATAATAGAGACTCAAAGGAAGATCCATCAATTAAGCACATCTATGAATACATAAGAGAAGAGATAAAAGATACTGTTGGAATGCTAGTTCTGCCTGCAGTTTTTAGTTCTCAAACATGAAATTATTTCAGTTCTCAAACATGAAATGATTTACCGTTTTCACATAGCAACGCATGACAGGGTTTAACAAAACACCCCAGGAATAATTGTTTTACCCCAGAATTGTACCCCTGATGTTAGACCTAGAGGAAGCATTTATGCCCCACCCAGCTAGATAGCTGAATGAGGGACACATCCCTCTGCTTCCTTCTTGAAAAAGGATCCCCTCACAAAGTAGTCCTATTGGTTTCCCTAGTGAAAGCTCAGTCTGGTCTTGCATGGTTCCCAAATGAGTGTGGAATTCTTAGTTTGAGTTTTCTTGGCCCAACAAAGCATTGTTGATATTGTAAGATGGACAGTTTTGGGAGGGTTTCCTTTATTGTTTTGTGTGGTAGGTACTTAGATGGTGGTAAGTGGAGTTGAAGAAAGGAAAGCTAGGATTTTTAGGTATCTGAAGGAAACATCGAAACACAATAGGTAAAAAGAATGATATTAACTGTGTCTCAGTCCATTCAGGTTACTATAATAAAATACCATACAATGGGTAGCTTCAACAACAAACACTTGTTTCTCATAGTTCTGGAGGCTGGAAGTCCAAAATCAGGATTCCAGCAGGCCCCTCTTTTTGGTTATGTCCTTACATGGCCTTCCTTGGTGCATGCACACAGAAAGAGAGATCCCGTATCTTCTCCTTTTTAAAAATAAGGGCATTAATCCTATCATGAGGGACCTAGCCTCATGACTTACTGTAATCATAATTACCTCCAAAAGGACCTGTTTCCATATATCATCACATTGGGGGTTAAGGTTTTAATATATTAATTTTAGGGGGAACATAAACATTTAGTCTGTTGTAACCAGTTATTAAAAATATGTCAATTTATTATATGATGGATCCTGGCATTCAACAGGGCAGGACTATAATCACATTAACCCAGAGTCTGATGATTTCAGTAAGACAATTCATATATCACTCCTAACAGCCAATGGTAGTAATGATTTTGGTAGTAATGAATTGTTGTTATTCCTTTTTATTTTTTAAACCATTTTGTTACAAGGATAGGAATATACTGATAAGGAATAAAAAGAAAATAATGGATCAGCCTCTCTTTTTCTGAGGGCTAATTAGAGAGAAAGTTTGTGGCCCTGAGACAGAGAAACCAATGGATCAGAATGAAATCAAATTTATGACTTTGACCTCATCAGTCTAATCAAGAGAGTTAACTGTACCAAGGATGGCAAGGCTTGCCTTTGCTTTGTAAAAATAAACCCAGTTTAGATAGTGACCGGTAAATGTGAATTTTCTATTACTTATTCTACAAACAATTACTGAGAAAGTTCTCTCTGCTAAGTGTTGCATTAGAAAGGTGATTATTTAAAATGAGATTTCAGTCTATTAGTAGGCTATAAAGTCAATAAAGTGGGTTGTATCTAACACTAAAAATAGAAACTATCAAGTGAATTGCATCTAGAAAGGGTAATATTATTCATGAAACTTTTTTCTAATTATGTATATATCTGTGTGTACTGGTTATAAAATTTATTTTTTATTATGGATCACAATTTTAAATGTTTGGGAAATAATACTGTGCTAGTCTTAAGGGATTCAGCAGTTAACAGATCAGATAAAAGGTACACACATTAAGCAAATATCTCAATGATTAATTATAGTTGTAATAAGTGTTATGAAGGAGAAGTACAGAATGCTAAACAGAACATAAAACACAGGGACCTAACCTCATATAGGGCTGGGTGGAATGGGAGGTACTTGAGGAAAGCTTTCCAGAACACAAGACATTTAAGCTGAGACCTGAAGAATGTGTGGGTGGGAGGTGGGCATTCTAGTCAGTGGAAGTAGCACATGGAGATGCTCTGAGTTCACATGAGTTTGGCACATCCAAATAACTGATAGAAGGTCAGTTGTGAAGGGCAAGAGGGAAACTGATGGGGACAGTGATTGGATTAGGTTGCCAACTCAGGCGATTCATAAAGGGAAGGGCCATCATGAGATTCCCAGCATTATCCCAGGGCAATGGAAAGTCACTGAAGTATCTGACGAAGGGGAGCCACATGAACCATTTGTATAGATTCTGGGTGTAGCGTGGAGAATAAATTGCCATGGGATAGGATGACATTGCCCACCTCTCTTCCTTTTTTTTTTTTTTTTGTTGTCTTAGAATAATTTTACTCATGTATATATTCAAGTTGGTGATTTGAACTTGAAGGAGATGAAGCATCTAAAAGAGACTAGTTGGAAGTGAGGTGGCAGGGGATGGTAGTTGAGATTAGCGTGGTGGCTCTGGGAATAGAGGAAAGTAGACATAGTCAGTGAAATGTGTAGGAGGCAAATCATCAAGAGCATGTGGGAACTGAGGGGGCATGACATCTAAAGGATAAGTCTCAAATTACTGGATGCAGCCATTGGCTGGATGGTGATACTATTTGATGAGGAGAGAATACTCAAAAAGAAAGAGACTTACAAAAATAGGCTATACCAGACCATAGTAAGTGCTCATTCAGTGGCTGCAATGATCAGTCATTCATACATGAAATGCTTGGCTTATGGATTTTAATGAATCTTGCTTTCAGACTGTATTTAGGTAAAAATCATTAATTTTTGCTGCTGAAGGTAACACATAAAGCTTTTAAAAACCTAAAATATAACTCAAAGTCAAAGATTACCAAGCATAAGATGCTTCCTTCCCTGCCACCATCCTTCCTGTCCTAGTTCCATAAAAATATCTCTTCTGGATAGACCACGAGGTCAGGAGATCGAGACCAGCCTGGCTGAGATGGTGAAATCCTGTCTCTACAAAAAGTATAAAAATTTGCTGGCATGGTGGCAGGTGCCTGTAATCCCAGCTACTCAGGAGGCTGAGGCAGGAGAATCACTCAAACAGGGAGGTGGAGGTTGCAGTGAGCCAGGATCACGCCACTGCACTCTAGCCTGGGCAACAGAGTAAGACTCATCTAAAAATCAAACAAACAAACAAAACCCTTTCACTTCAATCTCCTAAGAATTCAACACTTCATTTTTGAGTGTTTGGTGGGTGGGTAGGGCTATTTAATTCACTGGAAGGGAGCATTTCAAAGAATTGAGGGGCCATATCAGACACACTGAGTATTGCAAAAGCTCATTCTCTTTCCTTGCCTGTTGACTAGAAAGTACTCTGATCTAGGAGTTGGGAACTTAGCACTTCAGTCCCAACACACTATAACTTATGAGCTACTTAATCTTGAGCAAGTTTCTGGCCCTTTTCGGAGTCTCAGAATCTTTGCCTTTAATGGGGAAAATATCTACATCCCTTATATACCTCACTGGTTGTTGAGGGGGTTAAGGGAATTGGTATATATGAAAAAGACTTGAAAATAATAGAGTACCATGTATACACAGGGCAGGTTGATTACAAAGCAGATTAGATCTGTAGCCTTTGAGGTGATGGCAGTGCAACTTCTTGTTTTGATCTGTGACATAAGAACTTCTAGGATTTATGCCTGATCCTTTGGAGATTCATAACATATCAAACCTAAACGCTCAATGCTGTTCTTAATGCTTGCAAGACTTTGGAAGACAGCAGAATTTGATTCAGTGGGTTAGAGTTCATCCGTTCTTACGTCATATCCCAGAGTTTTAGACTTTTGAAAATGTTTTGATTTTGTAACTAGAGCCATCTAGTGTTGAGTTGATTACATACACACACACACACACACACACACACACGCACACACACACACAAAATCTTTCTCTCTCTCTCTCTCTTTCTCCCCCCCCCCCCCCCCCGCCTCCTTTATTTTGTGCTTTAGGAAATTGCATCTTGTTCTCCTGACACATTAGAATGGTATTTTATTATAACATAATTGTAGGATAAGATGAGAAATTAGGAATTTAATAAAGCCCCCGCTACATCTAAAAACTGTAATGGTGGGATGCTAGCCTGGCCCTGCCCTT